CTAATTACATGGGCCAGGTTGTGTGTGAGTTGCAATTACCTTGACTGATGGACAACAATCAGCTTTAACACACGTCTTCCATGTGTTGGAGACGCTTAATTGCTTACTGTTTTTTGACAAAGATGTTGCTGCTTTCCTAATTGGGTTTCCCCTGCAAGCACCTTCATGCAACCCACAGCCACTCCAGCAGGAGCGTGCAGCCTTTCACCTCCCCATGCACTGACAATGGATGGAGTCAGCACTCTCCAGCAGCTTTGCTAATGGCACCTTGCTCACATCACTCTGCAGTGATGGTAAATGCTCATGGTGCTCCTATGCGTATGTACATATGCACAGAATATTAAATGCTTCTAATTGAGCTGAAGATGTTGACTTTGAGAATACCTTTTATCGAGAAGCTTAGCAGAGCCACTCGCTCACAATGAGCGGTGCTGTCCTGTCTGTGCAGTGTGCTCTGCAGTGCTGCTGGATGTGTTTGGTGTAAAAAGTATCATCAGCAAAACTATTGTTGGAGCTAATTGCTAACTGGATGGCTGTGTGTTTGCAGAATTTTTTGGCCATGCTGTCGCTGGTTGCTCGTTAGAAAAGGACTTGTGAAAGGATGATGCTGGCAGTGCTGTGTTTGTGAATGGCGGAGCTGGGATTAATAGCACCAACGTTCTAAAGCAGATACAAAGCAGCCATAAATCCACTGCAAACACCGAGTGCATGCAGAGCAGGTGTTGTAAAGTTCCGGATGATGCTTGGAAGTGTTTTGCTAATAAACCATTTTTATGGTGGTGCGATGAGGTGTGTCTGCAGGGTGGTTCTCATCTGAGCAGCTCCTTTGCCTGCAGCGATGCCGTGTGGTCAGGGTGGGCGGTGATGTATGGCAGCATTGTCAGTCCCAGCACGTCTTTCTTAAGTTATTTTCATTAGATGAATGCCCTTACTGTGGGACAGATGTAACCCATCTGTAAAGCAATCCCTGTGTTTGTACATGGTTGTACATGGCTCTTCCCTCTGTAGCTCTGCATCTCTGGTTACAGTGCCACGGGTGGAACCAGGGCTCACTGCTGCTTCCTGCACTGGCTGCCCCAGCTCAGCACGGTGCTCAGTGAGGCTTCAAGGCCAGCTCAGGCTGCTTCAGTGCTGCCCCTGGCCTTCCTAGTGCTGCATCTGAACTATGGAGGCGTCTGTGGTTTCCCAATAAATGAACCCTCTGAGTGAGTGTTCATCGAGCACAGACTTACTTAGGCTTCTTGAATCATAGAATCACAAGGTTGGAAACGACCTATAAGATCATCTGGTCCAACCGTCTCCTCATCACCATTGCCACCACCAGCACTAAACCACATCACACAGCACGTCGTCCAGATGCCTCTTGAACTCTGCCAGGGACAGTGACTCCACCACCTCCCTGGGCAGCCATTGCAGTGCCTGACCACTCTCTGAGAGAAAAAGTTCTTCCTTATGTCTAAAGTTCTTCCTTATGTCTAAATGGAGCAAAAGATTATTTTTTTTTTTGAATGCAAAAGGTTTCATTCTGAATGTATTTCCCTGGAGTAAATAACTGCATTCTCTTGTAGGTTTTGCTAAGGATTATTATTGTTTTCGGTAAAAGCTCTATCCAAATCTTGAGCCTACAGCTGAACCTCTGCCTGTCTGCAGAGCAGCTCAGGGCTTCCAGCCTTGGGATGCCCCCTGGCACTGAGCACTGCAGCTGTGCAGCTGTGGGATGCAGTGCTGGTTGGGCACGGAGCCACGCTGACCCAAGGCGTGAGAACATTCTGCTCTCAGTTTAAAGCTGAAAGCGTATTTATGCTCATGTAAGATCTGATAGTTGCATTTGTGGAACAGAGTGGGAGGAGAGGTGGGTGACCATGGATTGCTCTGTCCTATTCAGCTGCAGCGCTTGTTTGGAACTTGTGCTTTTGCTGTGCAAGTGGATGAGAGCCATGCAGAGCCAATGGAGAACATCCTCTGCGTGGGCTGCCCTGCTGCCCCAGGGTCCCAGACAGCACTTCTTGCCATTGGAAAACACGTGTTTTTGGAAAAAGCAAGCATCAGTTGAGTCATATCCAATTTGCTGCGAGTCATGCTCAAAAGGTCAAGTGTGCTGGTGTGTAGCTAAGCATCAGAATGTCCTTGGGATTGAGTTCACGTTCAGAATGATTCTGAAAGGCCTTTGGTTTTTGTGGTCTTTTTGCTTGTAAATAGAATTTCTGCACATGTTGATTGTTTTGGAGATGCTTTGTAATGAAGGAGTTCTGAATTGGGCTCTGAAAGCTTCCAGTTCGCTTTGCTTTTCCCCAGAATAGCAAACTTGATTGCATCCTTCCTGTTTGTTCCTTTGTACTCTGAAATCTTCACATTGCTGCCATAAGCCCAATAGCTGCCTACCTTTGCGGGGGAGGAAGAATTGGGCTTGTTGATGTTTCACAGCAATTTACTTAAAATAGGGGAAAAAAAAAAGCCAACTCCTACTTCTGCAAAGCCAGAAGCTGCTTTGGAAAAAAGGGGTAAGCAGCAAAAGAATTTCTTCTAGCAACAGGAACAGATGTACAAAGTGGTGTTGGAAGAGAGTGCTTTTCTCCTTGTGCCGTGTGTGCCAATGCAGATCTGTCCATTCCTTGGCATGGTTGGGGGGGGGATGCTGATGTGAGGTAGGTTCCAAAGGTTAAGCAGTCTCATCAGCAAGAGCTGTGGTGTCCAGTTGGGATATCTGTAACTTGTGATTTGTGGGGTTGAAGAACCACATTTATGGCTGTAATTCAGCTGGTTCAGTACTCATTACTGTGTAGGGTGATGCTGTGAGGGGAGGATGGCAAATGGGATTCTGAGGCACAGAGCTGCTCCTCCATCTGAACTTCAGCACAGGTCTCTCTCTGCACGTGTGAGTTGCACAGCCCTTGTTCCTGTCCTCATGGGGTCAATTCTTCCCTTCCTCCAGCTGCAGCTCCATGTGATGGGCTGGGCACAGCTGCTTGTCCCCATGCTGGGTGCTTGGGGGACTGCAGGTCACTGTGGGAGAGCAGAATCCCAGAAGGATGCAGGCTGACCTTGCCCTGGTAAGTAGAAGGCATCACAAGGAGCAAAGCCACGGCCCCTTAAACTGGGTTGGAATGAAACCAACTAGGAAATGAGGTAAAATGGTCCATTCCCAAAGAAACACAACCAACCAGTTGTTCACATTGAACTGGAATCTCAGAACTCAGCACAGCACAGAAGCAGCGGGCAGCAGTGCTGCCCCTCTCCCCAGTCAGTGGCTGTGGCATTCCCTGAGCTGCTCCTCCCAAAGAGAGGTGTCCCCTGGAAGTGCTTCATGTCCTCCCAGCAGTCGTTCTGACCTTTCCCTTCTCTGTGTGTGTGTGTTAGCTGTTTAACAGCAATCACCTTCAGTATTAAATAAACCACAGTGCAGGATGACTCGCAGCTGGAGCCGTTTGCATGGAGCGCCTTTCAGCTCGCTTTTATATCATTTCTAATTTTACTCTGCCCTCCTTTCTCATCAGCTCTTCTGAGGAGCTGAAGTAGAAGGGATTAGGAAGAAAAAGGTAGCTAAAAGGCAATCTCTCTCTTATACCTTATTACATGCTACCTGCTTTTGTGGGCTGCATTCTGGAAACCAGAACTGAAGTTACTGTGGTGCAATACATAGAAGCTGGAGCTGCCTTTGCCGTGAGCTTCAATGAAAGCAGCATCTGTGCTTTAGCTTAGGCTTCCTGTACCAGTGCTGGGCTGCCTTGTCAGCTCTGAATAGGAAAAATAGGAAAAAAACTAGGCTAGGGTTAATGGCAGTCTGAACACGAGCTCTGGGACAGGTCGAGCAGGGGGGTTCACAGCTGTGGGCTGGAGACCTGTGGTCCCAAGCATGGTACATGTCTGGTCCTAAAATGAGGGACCTGTGCCTGCTCCTACGGGACAGCATGGGAGCACTGGGAAGGTACTGGGAAAGCAATTGCAGTCCGAGCTTCAGAAGCTTCCTGGGAACATCGCTGTAATGAAGTTTTGCAGTGCTTATTGTTGTGCAGGTCATTTCCTTTGGAAATAGTTAATTTTGCTGCAGCTGCCATCAGTAGCTCTGCCTAAGCCATTGTCTGTGCGCAGTGCTGGCGTTTGCCATGCGATAAAAACAGGGTGCTTTTAGCCAGTTTCTGTGACTTAAAACTTGTCTTATTTATCTGCTGTAAAGCACCGTGCTCCTTAACCTCTGCTTTTTGCATGGGGAAAGAAGCAGTGATGCAGCTTTGAAATACATAGGAGTGTGAGCATGAATGCTTTGTGCTGATAGCAAAGGTGCAGCAAAGCAGCAGGTTTGGAGTTTGCAGGAGCCTTCAAGGAGAGCGATGCACGGGGATGCTGCATGCACACAGGCAGGCATACCAAATCCTTGCCAGATGTCTGAGCTGTCGTTTGGAGCACGCTCTGTGCTGGATTCTTGTAGGCACTGTCATGAGCTGGCAGCAGAAGTGCCTGCATCTCTCTGCTCCGTGGCTCTGTTGTTTGTGCATGGTGCTGGGAAGGAAAGCGTGGATCCCTGAGGTACTTCCAACTGGGGTGTCCCAGTCCCAAAAAGGTGTTGTGTGGGATAGCTGGAGCTGCAGAATGTACTGCTGATGGTTATGGAATTATGTGACAACACTCCTGATGAGCCAGGAGCAGTGATGGGGCAATGTGAAATGATTGTGAAAACTCTTCTGATCCCAACTTCTGTGTTTTTCCATTGATTTGCAGTGAGGTTGCATCGCTGACAGAAGCAGCAGCAGCAGCAGTGCTCTCCTGCAGCAGCCACCTTGGGGGCTGTCAGAGGATCGGATGGTTTTGATGTTGCCCTCGCTTCTCAAAAACAAGGAGAGCAAAGCTTTGCATTTTAGTTCACTCCTCGTGGGTTTGCAGTAGTAAATGCATAAGGGGTCCCATGAGCTTCGCACCCAGCTCATTGCAGCTGATACCAGGCTGAGCTGATACCAGGAGTTCCCCTTGCACCAGGTCTGTGTGCTCCTGTCCCCTGCTGCTGAGGCATCCCTCAGCTCACAAGCTCAGCTTGTGGCTGGATGTCATCTGCTTGTGCTCTATGCTGTGATGCTGTAACTGCGCTCTCCTTCCTTTTCATTATGGTTTGGCTGCTCCGTGACTCTGCCTTGACACTTCCCCACCATTGAGATGAAAGTCCTCGTGGCTGACTGCAGGCTTCCATCAGCAAGGCAGTCTGAGGATGTGAATGAGCACGCTGCTGCTCAGAAACCCTGTGTATTCTTCACATTTTAACACTTCTTTGTAGCAATTCTGCATTGCAGAGCTCGCATAAGGGTGTTGGGGCACGATGCATTGCGAGAATCACAGCTGCTAACTGCTCTGTCTTGCACCGACTCCACCAATCACTTAAAATAACTTGTGCACAAAAATCCCTCTTGTGCTCAGATGCTGATCTGCTGGGAAAGGCCAACTGCTGCTGCATGGGCATGGCTTGGGCAGGACGTGTGAGCATGCAGTGCACAGGTCGGCACCAGGACGAGGGCATCCCACCTATCCATGCAGGCAGCACTGCCCCTCACTACGCTTTACAGGTGTAAAGAGAGGACCTCACCTGTGTGTTCTGGTGTTGGATCCCACGCTTCCTTCCAAAGCCTGAATGCACAGACTGGTGAAATGGTTCTATGGCACTTTGTTAATCTGTGCGGTAACGGCGCAGTACTCGATAGTTTAGGAAGAGGCATTGCAATGCCTCCGTGAGCAGCAGCCAGATCTAGGAGTTATTTGTGCCGTTAGTGAGGGGTTTAATAGCTTAATCCATCTGGAAAGCAAGGGGATTGATTGGGCTGTACGATGAATGGGCTGATAATTAGCACAGCAGTCCCTCCGAACCACGCACCCCGGTAAGGCAGTGTGGCACACAGCAGGCGCTGAGCTGGAGTTTTTAGCAGTGCACTATGGCACGTTTACTGGAAGAAAAAAGGCACCTTGGCAGTGCTCTGATGGGTGAGTGCTGTTTCAGGTTCAGGAAAGCGGCCAGGCCAAGGCACACAGTGCAGTTGTGCAAAGAAATGCCCCTGAGTGCATTGCTGGCAGTGCGGGTGGGTGCCAGCCTGCCATCCTCAGCACTCATCTGTTTCCTTGGTGTGCACTTCAGATTGCAATTACACTTTGGAGCTGCAGTTGATTTTCAGTTAGTACGGGCTGATAAACGCCCTTCAAAGCGTGCAGTGTCTGCAGGGTTTGAGAAGGAAGACCTGTGCTTGCTGTATGGGGTGAGAAACATGAGTATATTTGGATGCTTTGGGATTGTGCTGCGGATTTTTGTGCCAACAGCACCCCCAAAAAAGCACTGCCACCACCACTGGCAAACAGAGCCCATAATGAGTGCATCTGACGCTGAAATGAGATGCAAATCTCCATTTCTACCAGAGGGTCACTTGGGTGTCTGTAGGTGCTGTGCCTTTTTGAAGAGCTGCTGCACGGCAGTAGGCATTTCTCCTGGTGCTTCATGGGTGTGTGGGTATGGATGAAGCTCTGTAAGGTTCTTGGTGCACTGGGAAGCTGTGGGGTGGCCTTGTGGCTGCAGTTTCTGTACGTTAGATCCTTCCTGCCCAGCAATCCAGTGAGGATTATACAGCAGATCTGTGTTGAAGAGCCAGTGGAGGGGCAGAGCCATTAGAAATTGGAGCCTTTCACCAATATCCCATTTGGAGACAGAAGAAGGCTTTGGCAAAAGGTGAGAAGTTTTGATAGAATGGTTTTCCACAGTTACTAAAAACAAGGCCTGAGTTCTTTATTATTATTATTTTTTTGTTATGTAACACCAGCATTTCGTTGCAGGAAATGGAAAAGCAGGCTGAGCCGCGTGCGTGGCCAGGTACGCCTTTAGGTCAGGGCACGTATTGAAGTTCTGCTCTTCTCTTCTTTAAACATGGGGTTGAACGTGTGCACAGAACTGCCAATCTGAGGCATTTTTTCTCTCTGTTCTCAGCAGCTCAGTGTGGCACACAGGCTTCAAAGTCAGGCGGTGCCTTATCGCAGTGCAGCAGGAACCCAGCTCCTCGCTGGGAGCAGCGCTGTGTGTCCCAGAGCTCTGCAGCTCAGTCCCTTCTGATCCTTGTTTGAGCACGGAGAGTTTCCATGGGAGTGCCCTAAATTGCTGCCAGCGCCGTGGGTTGGGGAAGTAAGTCGCCTTGGGGTTTGTTTTTCTGAGTCTTCCTCAGCTCCTGTGGGGCTGGGCTGTGTGCTCAAGGCTCGTTGGTCCTGGTTGCTAAATGCTGTCTGTACAGCATGAGCAGAAATAGAAGTGAGGGCTGCGTGCCTGCCTGCCCTTGGCACACCCAGCCTTCCCACAGGAGCTTTGTGCAGGAGGAGGAATTGAGCTGTGCAGTGTGGGGCAGTGGAAAGGAGACCTTCCTGCTGGAAATAAGAAGTCGTTTTCTCTCCCCTTGGAAAATAAGATAGGTGCACGAAGTGCGTGTCTGTCTGCGTGCTTGTGCAGAGCAGGGTTAAAGCCGTTCCTGCTCACCGTGTGAGCCATGCAGATGAGCAGAGGTGTTTTGGGGTGGGACAGCATGCAAGAAAAGACCTCTTAAAACACCTTGTGTTCCATAGGGCTGATTGCTTGGGAAAAGTCCAGCAACAAAAAGTGAGCAGGCAGCACAGGAATGAGAGGGACGTCTGCTTTCCAGGGAAGCACAGCTTCTCTGCTCTGGTTTACAGGGGCTTATTGCCAGCAGCCTGCGATGCCCGGGGCTGTGGGCACCCCCATCTCTTACCAAGGATTAAAAGGTCCCTTCAGTAAATCCAGGGCTTCCCGCAGGAACTCTATTTTATCCTTATTGTGCCAGGAATTATTATTCTGGTTTAGGTGCCATTCTTCTGTTTGCATTTCCTTTCTTCTTTCAGGACGGCTCAGCCCAGCACAGGAGCCGTCCTGTTTGGTGGATGTATGGGGCTCTGTGCAGTGATGATAGAGGAAAGGCATCTGAGCTGCCGGGCTGGAAATTTGGCTCTGGCGTCTTGGAATTTTCCAAAAGAAACAGTCCTCATCGTGTTTTCAACCCTAAAACTCTCCAGGAAGGAATGAAATGCCAGTGGTGAGAGAAGAGTTCAAGGAGAGGCTCTGATGGGCGCACAGCTGGGAATGCTGATGGCGCGTGTGCAGCATGGGATGCCAAAGTTTGTCCTTCCTGCAGGCAGCAGTCACAAAGCCACAGCAAAATGCAGTCAGTTTGTTTATTTAGCCCGGTGGTTCTTGATGTCAACCCACCTTTGTAGGAGTCAATTGGAGGAAATTATTGCTCCTTCCCCCCCCATGCCTTGAAATGCTTTCCCATCCTGTGCTCATCCAATCCTTTAAGTATCGTCTGATGAAATGCTTTTCATAAGAGCACCGAGGGAATAGGCCCATTTAACACAGCCCCTCTGCAGCTTTAAATTACCTCTTTCTCTCATGGAAATTCTGAATTCTTTCTTCCACAGCTGGATGAAGAAATCCATCTCTCCATGTACCACACAGTCAGCCTTTCTCCTGCACTGGCAGCTCTGGATGTTCCAGTGCCTGGCAAAATTTCATGCAGTGAAAACTCCAGTTTTCTTCCTGAGTCCTCCTCAGCTCATCTGTAGCTCATAAAAGCTCAGTATCACTGCAGCTCACACTGTGCTGGAGCTGAGCATCAGCATCTCCTATTCGGGGTCCCAAAAGCTGCTGCGTGCCCCATCCCTCTGCCTTTCTGCCGTTGGGGTTTTGCTCGTGTGCTTCCAGAGCAGAACCGAGCTGAGCTAAAAGGGCTTTGAGGCAGCATGGCCAGGGACTGTGCACAGCTGGGGGAAACACATGGGGCTGTTTGAAAACAGTCATGCACGTGGGGTAGCGGGTGTGGGAAGAGCATGGTTGATGTTCCCCATCCCTTTGCCCATCCCCTGCTAATCCAGATGAGTTAATTAATGTTGAGTTTTCTAGCTAGGAGTCAGAAATGTTATTCACTCTTTAAAAAGTGAATTATCCCCGTGTGTAAAAAGAGCAGAACGTGTTTGTTGAGGTCATCCCAAAAGCATCATCACTGAAAACCATCTGCTGATGCAGAAAATTGGATTTATTCTTATGCCAGCGTTTCCATAAAAATACAATTACATCTAAATTTATGCTCTCTAAAAGCTTACAGCAAGCCAGGCTTTTGGCAAATAAGACACTTCTCTTTTCAAGTCCGGTTTTAACTGACCAGATGGTGCTTACAGTGCAGGAGCATAAGACTGGTGGGAGATAATTGATTGTTTCCATTTGAAAGTAATAATAATTAAAAAAAAGAAAAAAAAGGTGATTTTTAGCTGTGTGAACTCCAGACTTTGGTTGTGGGGTTGTTCCACTGGAAATCCTCTCGTTGCTCTGGGCACGGTGGTGGTTTTTCCATCTGAACAGTGAAGGTTTGTGGTGATGCTGTGATGGCTGCTCAGCCTCTCATTGGTGGTGAGAGCGTGGAATGGCACGGTCCTGGATGTGCAACACAATGTGGGGGACAAGAGGAAAGTCTCCTCCGCTGGAGGCTTTAAAGGCAAGGCTGGATCAGGCCCCGGGCAGCCTGATGTAGCTGTGGTGTCTGTGTGCATTGCAGCGAGTTGGACTGGATGGCCTTCAGAGGTCCATTCCAACTGCAAGGATTTTATGGTCTAAGTGGCTGAGTGATGCGTGCAGAGAGGGGCCTTGGGGTAAACTCAGCAGGGAGGAAGTTAAGAAGGGTTCTGCACCTGACGGTGGTGCGTACGGCCCTGCACTGCTGGAGCTCAGGGAGCATTGGGGCACTGCTCTTGGGCCAGCTGAGTTTACCTTGGTTTAACTCCTAAATTGCCCTGCGTAGAGTCAAGAATTGGATTTGGCATTCCTCATGGGTCCATTCCAACACAGGGTATTCTGTGATTATTTCTTTTTTAATTTGATCAAGCGTTGGAATGGACTGCTTAGGGAAGTGCTGGAGTCCCCATCCCTGGCGATATTCGGGAGCCGTGGCACCAAGGGATGGGTGATTGGACTCAGAACATCCAACTATGCATCAAGCTCAGAAATAAAAGCCCCCAATTATCCATTAAACAAGCGAACGAAAGCAAGAAATGCAATGCTTGGACTCAAGGACCTCTGAGGTCTTTCCCAAACACGTGGTTGTGTCAGTAGTTCCAGCCCCAAGCCCGCTCCGCTCCCTGAACGCCTCTCCCTTTGTTTTGCAGGTATGGTGTGAATATGCGTTGCTTGGCAGCTCGGGTCAACTACAAGACTCTGATCATCATCTGCGCTCTCTTCACGCTGGTGACGGTGCTGCTGTGGAACAGATGCTCCTCGGATGGGGCCGGCCCGTTCCCCCGCAGCCCCGGTGGCCCCGAGCGCCGCGCGGCCGCTGCCAGCAGTGGCCCCGCACGGGATGTGGCCAAGCAGAGCGAGGAAGCATCACCCCAGGAACAGCAGAAAGCTCCTCCCGTCGTGGGAGGCTTCAACAAAGCCCCGGGGCTGAAGTATGAAGAGATAGACTGTCTGATCAACGACGAGCACACCATCAAAGGGAGGAGGGAAGGCAGCGAGGTCTTCCTGCCGTTCAGCTGGGTAGAGAAATACTTTGAGGTTTATGGGAAAATTGCTCAGTACGATGGTTATGACAGGTTTGAATTCTCTCATAGCTACTCCAAAGTATACACACAGAGAGCACCTTACCACCCGGATGGGGTCTTTATGTCCTTCGAGGGCTACAACGTAGAGGTTCGAGACAGAGTGAAGTGCATAAGTGGTGTTGAAGGTTTGTGCTCCACGTTTTCCTTTTCGGTTGAAATGCTTCTTGAAATTTGCTGTTGTCGTTTGAGATGCAGAGGGCTCCTAATTTTGTCACGACAGCGTGGATGAAAATGCATTGGGGATCAAGAAATGTGGTGCAGTCTGCAGCATCACATCAACTTGTTTTTTGAGGTTAATTTGTCTTTTTCACTTGGGCATCAGCCGAACAAGCGCTTCTGGTTCAAGATCCTTTGTCCAAATGCCAAATGGGTTTCGGAGAAGGGAAAAGGACTGCTTTGGATAGGGGTAACATACTGTGGCGATGAAGCTGGGCTGTTAAAAGGGCTGACATCTCTCAGCTCAAGTTGTGAACTTTCCTTACACTTGTTTTTGTGGCGTGATTATGTGTGCTGGGAGCAGGGTGTAGGCAGAGCCCTCCTGGAACACCTTCATTACCAAAGGTGTGAGCACATCCCAGTAGCTACGCATCCTCTGTGTGCAGAAGGCTGGGGAGAGGGGTTCCTTTCCTCTCGTTGCAGTAATTGCTGACTGAATACAGCTTAGGGAACAGGCACGTTTCACACCTGACTGTTTGGTTATTCCTCTATTGGCCTCCCTTTTTTTGCAGCAAGTGTTTTAAGAGCCATCCTTGTGCCAGAGCCTGGCTATTGTAAAGGCAATAGTTAGCAGCCAGCAAACAGGGCTGAGAAGTGCTTGTAGAGGAAGAGTTTGAATACTAAAACACTCAGCCAGGTTTAGCTCTTGCCTCGCATGCTTCCAGCCCTGGTAACGCTCACGTTGTTGCGTGATGAAAACCTCGTGCTGTATTTTCACCTTCTCCCTTTCTGCAAGGTTAATGCGTTGTTATGTCCTATGACCTGGAGAATTTAATCTTGTCATCTTGTATGAATTTCAAGTCAAGCTCTTCCAGCACATTTCTTTTTTTTTTTTTTTGCATCTTTCAGTCTCAACGAGTGCACCCTTTAACTGCAGATGCTTAGCACTAATGAGCGAGCTGGCTTCCAGGAGCAGCGATAGCACACGAGACTCAAATATTTCCTCTGATGGTTTTCTCTTTAGGCAGCAGTAAACCATCACATCCCCATCAATGATATTTATTAGGAACGTGAAGCACAGAAATATGTATGAAAATGTACCTTTTCCCATTGAGTTTAAGCAATATTTTCACTGCAGTATTAGTTTCTGAGCTTGACATTGCCAAAGGGGAGAGTAGTGCGAATGCCATCTTGTTTATTTGCATCTTCCTTTTTCTCTTCTTACGTGCACAAGAAAGCTTGCAGTGCTAAACGTGCTGCAAGGGGGTCACGGTGCTGTATTCCCACTTTGGATTCTTACATTGCAATTGGGAATTTGCCCCAAACAAAATGTAGGGCTTTGGGGAATCCTGCTTTCCTCCATTCTATCCTAAGCAATGTGTGTTTGCCTTGTTCTGCACGTGTGTGGCTGGGTTAATTGGCACATCCCAGCAGAGGTAACAGGGGCAGCTCGGGGTTGGGAGGTTCCTCCTTTAGCACCAAGTGACTCAAACCACAGTCCAGCAATAACACAGCCATTGAACTTGAAAAGATGCATGCAGTGTCAAAGGGATTTGTTATATGGGATGTCGTGTGGGGGTTGGGGAGGAAAATCTGTTTTAAATGCATGTTAAAGTCAGTATGATGCATCAGGATGCAGTTAGATGGGAGGACCACGATAAGGACTGCTCTGCCCTTCCCCTCTGCTCAGTTCTGCCCCATTGCAGATCCCAGTGCCATTGGGGGCAGTTCATTGTGTGAGTGGACTTTCCTTGAGTCCAGCTGGCGGTGAAGCCTGTTAACCTTTGTGGTTGGACTTGATGATCTTGAAGGTCTTTTCCAACCTGAGTTATTCTGTGATTCTCACCTCTGCCAGGAGTACATCGGTGGTGGGGAAGGAATGGGGAAGGCAGCGTGCAGCACTGCAAACACTGACATGTGAAACTGTGCCAATGAAACACTCACGTTGCTCCTCTCTCCTAGGTGTGCCCTTATCCACCCAGTGGGGGCCTCAGGGCTACTTCTATCCCATCCAGATCGCACAGTACGGGTTGAGTCACTACAGCAAAAACCTGACGGAGAAACCCCCGCACATCGAGGTGTACGAAACGGCTGAGGAGAAGGACAGGGGCAGCAGGGCAGCCGAGTGGACCGTGCCCAAGGGCTGCTCCCTTTCCACAGTGCCCGATAAAGCCAAGTTCACCAGTGTTAAACACTTTGTTGCTCCAGGTGGGTTATGGCAGACAGATGGTTGGCTCGCTCAGCAGAGGGCTCTCCTCCGTTTCCTCTGGTTTTGTTTGTATGGAGCAGCTTTCCATCCTTAGGACCTTACCTGAAAACATCATTGAGTTGTGTATTTTATTGTTTTTACTGTTTTTTCTCCATCACTGCTCTTTGAAACATCCTTATTTTAATTAAAAGACATGTGGGTATATTGGTATATATGGGTATATTTGGGGAGGGCAGTGCAGCTCAGCAGAGCAGCTGTGCTCACATTTCCTGAGCCTGCTTGCTTCGGTCCCAGAATGGAAGCAAAGCACTCCAGCCTGCAGTGCTGGAGCATGATGCAAGAGCTGGTATGTGAAGCTGGGTATGATGTGAGATGGCAGAGAGGGGCAGTTTTCATCCCGAGCAGATGCGCTGTGCAGGACTGCTGCTGGGACCCTGCATCTCTTCTTTGGGATGCCACTATTTTTGCAGTTTGAGGGCCATGCAGACCTCATTCTGGTTTAACCGGGTTGCCTTAATGAGGCAGCAAGAGGGAGTGCAGGCAGTTAGGGATGACTTCTTGTGCTCTTCGCCCTCTCTGAGTATAACTAAATCAGCTTCTGTGTTGCAGTGACCATATATAGGTGATGAATATTTTTCCAAGGGAGGAAAGGAAAACCCCCTAATGGGCAGATGGGCAACAAAAGCCCCCCAACAGCTCCCAGTGTTGGTGGCGTTGCCAGGCTGCAGTACCACTGCCACCAGGCCCTGGGAGGTGGCCCACCACATCCCCATAACCTTGGCATTGTGGGGCTGTGTGTGGGCTCTCACTGCCCATTGCACACCACGTGCCTGCTGTTACCCGCTTGACTTTCCCCTGTTCTGCTTCGTCCTGAGCAGAGGTTTATTTTGAGAAGTGGATTATTTCATGCAGGAGTTTCCTTTCTGCTCAGACAGGTTCGTTGGTAAGGACGTAATGTGTTTTTCCTCAATCAATACCCATTAGAATTAATGAGTCCATTACTTACAAAGACAATGAAGTAATTTGCAGTTGGCACCTTAGGCTCAGGCCTCTGGGGAAAAGCTGCCGAACACTCTCGTGTCTTTGTAGTAGAGAAATACAGGGAGAGAGAAGGCTGAAAGAGCTGCTGTGTGTTCTGTCTTCATCCTTTATTGATGGCAGAGTGATGTGCAGGGCTGAAGGCTGCAGTCTGCATCCACTCTCTGAGATGGCTGTAAGTAATGGCTTCAGAGGCGCTGATGGCTGTGGAAAGAACACGCAGCCTTTAGGTTTCCTTCTTAAAGCTCCTTTTCCCATTATAGTTCACTTTGTTGTGGCACCAGAAGTTATTTACATGGAACTGTGCACAGCACAGCGGTACCTACGGTGCAGAAGTGCCCATGATATGAAATGCACTGGGAGTGGTTGGAGATGGAGAAGCCATTGCTGGTGGCCACAGCCCTCTGTTTGCTCATGATGGGATATTTTATGTGTCAGGAGGTAGAAGAATAGAAACAGTGGTCTTCCACGGGAGGGTTTTATACTATGGAAAGCTGTTAATTTAAAACATCTGCCTTTTAAGTGTTGGTCAGCCTCAAAGCTGTGGCATTTGCACGTGGCATTACAGACACATTAGCTGCATTAGGTGCTATTGCATTAGGTGCCACCACCTGGGAGCTGTACTTATTGTTGTGTTTTAAACTGAACTGAATTTTGCCAACTGAGAGGTTAATAAGTACTTCTAATATGTTCTTCTTTCTGGGTTCCATGGGGCTATAGCACTGAGGGACGTGGGCAGGGGGCGTAGTGGGGTGAGTTGGGGTTGGGGATCTCAGAGGGCGTTTCCAACGGTCACGATTCTGTGGTTCTACTAAATGATAAGATCTGTTTGTGACCATATTTCTTAAGGTCGTACCCTACCCCAAATTCCTGGCCTGCGTCCTCCCAGCATCACCTGGAGGCGCAGCGGAATCCCCCATGACTCTCCTTGCCTCTGCCCAAATCCTGGATTCCCAGCAGCAGCTGCCTGGGCTGCGTGCTGAGCCCCCGGCACGCTCAGTGACTGTGGGTTGCTCCCCGCCGCAGCCATCGCTCACGGCTTTACTTTCATGCTTAATTAAATAATACATGTACAGAAAGCAGAGGCCGTTTGAATTATTGATCAGCTCGCCTAAAAGCATTTGAGTTTTGTCTGGTTACCTCCGGATGCCGCGCTCTGTATCTTTGATATCTTTAAAGAAATGAGCTCTTTCCCACCGAACGGTTGTTTATTTGTTTTGCAGAGAACACCGAGGGGGTTTCCCTGCAGCTCGGGAACACCAGAGATTTCATTATTTCTTTTGATCTCAAGTTCGTAACCAACGGGAGCATTTCTGTGGTGCTGGAGACCACAGAGAAGAACCAGCTCTTCACCGTGCACTACGTCTCCAACACGCAGCTCATCGCCTTCAGGGAGCGCGACATCTTCTACGGCATCGGGGCCCGCACCGCCTGGAGCACCGTCACGCGGGACCTGGTGACCGACCTGCGCAAGGGCGTGGGGCTGTCCAACACCAAGGCCGTCAAGCAGACCAAAATAATGCCTAAGAAAGTGGTGAGGCTGATTGCGAAGGGGAGGGGATTCCTCGACAACGTCACCATCTCGGCCACCGCGCACATGGCGGCTTTCTTCGCGGCGAGCAACTGGTTGGTGAGGAACCAGGACGAGAGGGGCGGCTGGCCCATCATGGTGACCAGGAAGCTTGGGGAAGGCTTCAGATCCTTGGACCCGGGCTGGTACTCGGCCATGGCGCAGGGCCAGGCCATCTCCACGCTGGTGCGGGCCTACCTGCTGACCAAGGAGCACGCCTTCCTCAGCGCCGCGCTGCGGGCCACTGCGCCCTACAAGCTGCCGTCAGAGCAGCACGGGGTGAAGGCTGTGTTCATGAACAGGCACGACTGGTACGAGGAGTACCCCACCTCGCCCAGCTCCTTTGTGCTCAACGGCTTCATGTACTCGCTCATTGGGCTCTACGACCTGAAGGAGACCGCGGGGGAGAAGCTGGGCAAGGAGGCACGGCTGCTGTATGAGCGAGGCATGGAGTCCCTGAAGGCCATGCTGCCTCTCTACGACACCGGCTCCGGGACCATCTACGACCTGCGGCACTTCATGCTGGGCACCGCTCCCAACCTGGCGCGCTGGGACTACCACACCACCCACATCAACCAGCTCCAGCTGCTCAGCACCATCGACGAGGCCCCGATTTTTAAAGAGTTTGTCAGGAGGTGGAAGAGCTACCTGCGGGGCGGCAGGGCAAAGCACAACTAGAGCTGACAACCAAAGCCCTCGTGCCCGCTGGCGGCGAAGGTTCGGGCTTCTGGAGCTCGGCGAGGGGACACCTGAAAAGGTCGCATCCTAAATTCGTTTTGAAGAAGTGATCCTTAAAACTGATCTCCTGAAATAATTGCATTCCAGTGTGAAAACCTTTGGGTCTGATGGGCAGGAATCGGGGACTTCAGCTCGCTCTCTATAGCACTCCACCGTGGCGTTACCCGCACGAAGCAAAACCCATCTGTGCTCTGAGCTGGGGGACGATTTTGTTTTTGCTTTTTGCAGGAAGATATTTACGGAAGCCATACAGGTCTCTAAAGTCCAGCACTTGCCTGACAAGTTAGTATGTGGCCTCTTTGGAAATGGAGCTATTTGTGTATATGTTGGAACAGCGTCGCCGGTGGTGTGGTGTAATGCTGTAAACGTGTGTTTCCTTGTAGCCTGGGTAGTGGACAGCGTAGCTTTTTCAAGGTGTTCCTTTCTGTATGGATTCCCTCCTTGGGGTGACCGGCCTTTTTTATTCTCTGTCTGGAGGTCCTGTAGCCGTATGGCTTTGCGTCACACCACGTAAGCACAAGTTGGTGGCTCATGGATGGCCCGGCGCTGCGGCTGCACCAGCCCTGACCTGGGAGCCAGGCACACGTGGGGTGCCAGCAGTGGGCAGCACTTCCCTCCCCAGCAGCTGGAGTCTCTTCTCGTGGAGCCCGATGTTCTGTTCTGTATTTTTTCATCACATCTGAGAGGTTTCTGTAAGCGTTGGCTTGGTTCTGTAGGAGACCCGTGTTGAATTCCTGTGTGGCGTGGAGCTGGTTTTGAGTAGCGTGCAGGAAATGTAATTTGAGCACTGTCCTATGGGGGTTTTCGTTTTTTAACCTGCTTTCCCAAGATCCAGCACTTGAAAAATGACAATCAGCCCATAGGGCTCTGCAGCTCCGTCTGTGCTTTAGCACTGCTCGGCCTTTGCTGCCCGACACCAGTCATCAAACAGAACCCCAGCACTTCCACTGTGCTGGCAGCACGCAGAGGAGCAGATGGTCTGCATCTCGTCTTTGTGAGCCCATACCCACACCATGGGTCTGCCTTCACAGCGTGGAGGTTTCTGGTGGATCTGGAAGGGTAAAAGCGATGGCATCATTGGATGGCAATGGTGTGGTTTGTAGCACAGCAAACACCAGGTCGTCAGCTCTGTGCAGGCTTGCTGGGCTTTGCTCTCCCATCCCATCCAGGCACAAAAGCTCCCAACACGTCCTGGCGTGCTGTGATCATGTATGGCTGTGGGGCTTTTCCACTGATCCCATGACATGCTGCAGGTGTCGGTGTGCTTTGGCTTAAGGTGCTCCTACAGAGGACAGAGCTGCTTCAGACTGCAGAGAGGCTGGGCACGAGGACGGCGTGCATCTTGGCTTTTGTTTGCTTTTCTTGCTTTTTCAGTGCTTTTTTCTTGCAGATATTTGAAGCGACTTTGTAATGACTTGATCTCTGCAAACGCGTGCTGTGTGATCGTACCGGCTAATGTGAAAAGCAGACGTCGCGGGAGAAATCTCAATACCAAAGTTAGCAGAGCTGATTTTTATTTTTAGTGTTGTTGTTTTTGTGTTTGTTTATTTTTTTTAAACATGTGTGCACAGAGAAAACAACCCAAACGACGTGCTTCCTTCCAGCGACGGTCCTCGCTGCAAGCAGAGCATCTCCCTCTGTGCATCCCCTCCGGTTTTTGCCCGTTTTGGATTTGGGGAAGCGAGAGACACTTCCAGGGCGCTGCTCTGCAGCGGTGCCGGTGCCTTACCGAGGCCACCGTGCCCTCTTTTAATTATTATTTAATTACTTTCTTCTTGTTTTTCAATATCGGGTTGATCATGGCAGTGATGGTTGTGTTGGGGTGGGTCAGCCCCGGAGCGTTGGTGGCAACGCCGCTGCTCTGGGCACGCCGCGTCCTTAATAGCCACGCTGCGTTCCTGTTGGCCGTGGCACTTGTGTCACTTCATCCCGCCGCCCCCAGGGGTCGTGGGGCCACGGGGATTCGGTGTGAGGCCTCCTCTTGGGGTCGTGTTTTCCATACAGAGCTGGGAGGGGATGGTGGGACGTGGGCGCCCATCGCTTGGCTGAAGTCAGTCGCGTTGATCCCTGCGCTTTCCCGGTGGTCGACGTGACGAAGGTCCTGGGGACTCAGATCAGCTCGACGTCCCCGTGATGCTCGCTGTGCACAGAGCCGACTGGAGGCGTGGTGCACTGCACACCAGTGACACACAAGCACAACCGTCCGCGTGTGGCCGTGCTGTTTTCTCAGCCATTGTGCAAGACATTCACCGAAAGCTGCTATTTCCCTTCACCTTGTAATTGTACTTTATTTTTTCTACATTTTTACATGTGGGGTATACACGCCATGTGTTAAATATGCAATAAATTGTTTACAGGATGCTCTTGTAAAGGGTGGTCCTTTGTAAAGCTGTACAGACTTTGCAGTTTAAGCACAATGTGCACATGTTAGTTTTATATACGGCGAGACGTGACTTTTTGCAGAGGGAAAGGTTCTACTATGTTTATATACAAAGTAAATGGATCAATGTTTGTGCTTCACGTAAAGCTGCTTTATAAGATTGTAAAATAAATTTCTTTTTTTTTTATCTTAAGGTAAACACTGAGTGCTTGTGTTATTTTGGTCAGTATCTTCCCCCCCACCCCCGGCCGTATGGCTGCAGCTCGTTGAGGCTGGAAGTGTCCACCAGCACGTCCAGTGCATCACCAGCCATCAACCCGCCATCCTGATGGCCTTTGAGGCATCTCCTCATGGGGAATTTGGAAGGGTTTTGACTCAAAATTGAGTTTTACTCCAGCAGTCCCAATGTGCAGCCTGTCACCGTGATTCCCCAAAAGCAGAGCTGGAGTCCTGGAAACGCACAGAGCGGAGCTGCTGGGGTCCCCTCCTGTGGGCATGGGGGAAATCAGAGATTTCCCTTTCTTTGCACTTTCTTTGCGTGGAAGAATGGAGGAGGACTTGCATATGTTGTCTTGGTGCTGGGTCTGAATGTTTGCTGCTCAGTTTGTGGTGAAAGGAGATACATTTACCATCTGCTGAGGGCGACTGATGGCTCCCATGGATGTGCTGCACTTCCTGAATGCTGAACAGCAGTGTCTGCGCTCTGCTCATCTCCTGCATGGGAAGGAGCCGTTTGGGTGCCAAGCTGTGCATTGCTCTGTGTCCAATGAAGCTCACGTTTGTCATGGTGAAGTGCGTGGGCTCAAAGCCATCCTGAACACTCGCCATCAGGGCAGGGAGTGTTTTAGCAGCTCCTCTTGTTTCATGGCCTCAAAGCACTTTGCTGAATGGCTCTCAGGTGTTTTAGCTGAGGATGAGCTACAGGTGGCACCTGCTGTGGCACCTAGAACCACATAGGAGTGCAATAATGGGAAAGCATCTCCTGTCCTGCACGCAGCCCCCATCCTGTGGGCCCATCACTGCCTTCTGATCCTCCCCCAGCAGTGGGGCCATGGCTCTGAGCGTGTCCCCCTGCTCGCCCATTGCCAACCTGGGCTGAAGCAGTGCCATGGCCTTGAGGCACTCACTTCTAAACCATCACAGAGCGGTGCTCTGTCACCCCATTGAGGAAATGCACCAGAGCCCCAGTGCCCAGTGTGGTCTCTGCAGATGGGGGGCTCTAACAGAGTGCTTTCCTCACACTCTGGAATAACACAGCAGGTGATGGCAGGGCTGGCTTTCCTGCAGCTGCACAATGCTTCTGTGTCACCTTCCTCAGTGCTGGGGCTTCATCCTGCAGGGCAGGAGCCCCGTGGGTGCAACACCATGGGTTTTTTAATGGGAGAATCACAGCTGCTCTCCGACACTGGCGTGTCCAGCAGTCCTCCAGAACTGGGATCTGTGCAACCCAAGGCCCTGGGGATGCTCCTGGTGCCAGCACTGCCCCTGCTGCCTCCCATCCCAGATACTGCAGGCACACGTGTGCAGGGAGCACCTAAACAGATTTGCTTCTGCAAAGCCCATTACCAGACGGAAAATAACACAAAATCCAAATGGCATTGCTTGGCTGGGGAATGCTAACCCATTAATTTGATCGTAAAGAGGCCTTCTTATGGAAATCCTCACTTTATCCTGAGTACCAGCACAGATTGGTGCAGATTGGATCCCATTAACCCCGAGCTGTGCTGCTGGATCTTCGTGTTTTCCCCTTCCAACAAGGCTCTGTCGGCAGAGGCAGCTGGTGAGGAGCTGCCACCTCCCCCTGCCCAGGGGCTGAGCTGCTCACAGAGCATTAACTATGGATGCAGAGCACCATAATGCTTTGAGCCCTCTGTGCATGGCAGGGCTGAGCCAGCTGTGCTGGGCACTGTGGCCAGAAGCCACTGAGGGTGAGGAGGGTGGGAGGAAGCGCTTCCCAATGCAGGGTGCCTTTGGCCCATAGGATGGGTTTTTAGGCTGGCACGTCCCCAGCTTTCGTTCGCATCGTTCTGCCCCATCCGTGGGCAAGATCCAGGTTTTGCAGGGCTGCAACTCAAGGCAGACCACGTTGATGAATTAAATGGGCATAATTAAACATGCAGGCTTGGGGCTGCATTAAATATTAGCCACTTCTGCCTTGGTGCCTCCACGAGCAGTAGGTCTGCAAGGATTGGGAGCAGCGCATGGCTCCGCTCCTCCTTTGGCTGGCTTTGCCCTGAGATTTTAGGCCCTTCCCACGGTTGGTCTTTGCACCTACGATGGAATTTTGAGAGAGCCCACGGTCAGATTGTGGAATTCACGTAAAGAATTTAAACAGTGGAAAAAACCAAACGTGCTCAGAGCATCATCACCATCCTCTGCGTCAGGCTGGGATGCGCGGGATGGAGGAGCACCACTGCCCTGGGGGCCCTGGGCTGTGCAGGGCTGTGCAACCCCTGCGTGGGGTTGGGGCATTTCTGGAGTGGCTGCACAGCTGGGAGGAGTCGGTGCACACTGGGATTGTGCACAGCTGGGGTGGGTGTGCATCTCCAGAGGGCTTTGCTGTGTCACCATGTGCTCCGTCCACATCCCTTGCTTTGTGACCTTTATCCTACACCTGCGCTGTGCAGCCCTGCATCTTTCCCACTGCAAATGCCTTCTCCTGCTGGTTTGACTCAGCAAGCAGCAGCCCATGGCCGACGCGTGCTTGCAGCTCTTTCCAGATCCTCATGCTGTCCCGTGTGCGTGCCTGTGTGTCAGCTCCATTCCTATTTAGCTGCAAACAATGTCACGAGGGTTGTGCCCCAAGCTTGTTCAACACCTTTTACAGCTGGGGGAGTTTCCACTGGTTTCCAACTGACCTCACCGGTTGCTGCTGGGAAGCTTTGCTGTGCTGTGGGTGTGGGGCCGGCACCATAAGGGGAGCTGCCAGGTTATGGTGCTGGCAGGCAGCAGCTGCTGTGCAGGTGAGGGGTGAGTAGGAGCCGTCTGCACCCCCTTATAGGGCACAACGATGTCACCTCAGGGAGGGCATCGCCCAGATAAGCAGTCCCAAAAGGTGACGTGGCACAGGGTTGGGGGGCACCTCAGAGCAACAACTAGGAGATGGTGTGGAGGAGAAAAAAGGCAGAATTTTGCAGGAAATGGTTCAAAGTGCACCTGAGTGCCAACAGCACTTTGGGAACAGTGGCACCGGGCAGTGGGGTCAGCAGCAGCATCCCCTGGGAGCTGCATGGCTGGATGCAGGGGGGCACATCTAACCCAGCCACATTTACATCCACCCTGTGCTTCCAAAGCAAACCCAGACGTTTTGTTTGGAGAGGAGGGATGGCTCACACGGCTCTGGGAAATGCTTTCATGCTGTCCGTGTTGGCTGGGCTGAACGGGTTGAGACGGGTTGAGAGCATTAATTCTCCCCGTGCTGTGTGAACGGTGCATTAGGTCTGGATGCAGTGCTGAGGGTAATGGCTGTGGGTATGTCCGCATGCCATTCCTTCGGCTCTTTACAGTAATGGCCACACAGTGCTCTCCAGTGACTCCCAGTCCTCTCTCTGTCGCTCTATAAGAATGCCGTGAGCTCCGCAGAGCTGCGTGCGGAACAGGGGTCGACGCAACACCAAGGGAGCGATGCGAGGACACCTCTGGGCAGCAGCACGTCCCTCCCCACACTGCGCTTTGCACTTTTCCAGTCTCCTTGGAGACAGTTGAGCAACTTTCTGCTCTTTTCCGGTGCTAGAGCGGCGGGGCCGGGAGCTGCGCGCGGGGAGCAGCCTGGCAGCGCGCATTTTTCCTGCTTCCTCCCAGCCTGGCTGAAGCCGATCGGAGCGCGATCCGACAGAGTTTGGCTGCGGCGATTTCCGGTGGTGTTTTGTTGTGGGTTTTATTTTTTTCCCCCATTCCCTTCGCGCCCGGCCAGCGCTCCTTGGCTCCAACCCAACCGTGCGCGCTGACCTCCCCGCGTCCTTCCCGCGCCCAGCGGGATCCGTCCCCAGGCGGCCCCGTCCCGTCCCACCGTCCCCTCCCATGCAGCTCCATCGCTGGGCCATGTGGGCTCTGTTTGTACACAGATGAGCAACAGCTCGGCGCCAGCGCGGCATCGCCCAGCCCTGCGCCCGGCCGCTGTGTAAGTACGGCACGCTCGCTTCGCCCTGCTCCGCCGCTGCGCTTTGTGCTGCTATCCCAGGGGCTGCTGTGCTGCTGCGCTGCTGCTTTCCGGCTGTGCAAGGCCCGGGGATGTGTGGGTTTGTGCGTGGGGCAGATGGAACTCTTCTCTTGGTGCAGAAGTGCTGTGGGTACCCAGCTCGGCTTGGGTACCTCCGAGCTGCTTGCGCACCCAGCGGCCCCTGCACAGCAGCTCTGCGGCTCAGCCGGTCCTGCTCCTGTGCTGCTCCAAGAAAGCTGTGAAAGTTAACAATTAACAGCTAAAATACCTTCCCCTTCATTGGCACGCACGGCTCCACGCACACACTGAGCCGACGCACCGGTGGGGACGCGTTGGGGCCGCGCATGGCCGTGGGGATGGGAAGAAAGAGGAGGAGGAGGAATAGCGGGAGGAGGAGGAGGAGAAGGGTGTGTTTGCAGCACGCCTCCAGGCTTTGCAGCTTGCTGCCACAGAGGTCGCAGTTCAACGTATGTCCGTCCTTCCCACCAGGGTCCCCCATCCCTGCCCCACTGCCTGTGTCTCACCAAATGTGCCCTTGGAGCAGGAAGGAGTGGGGCTGCAGGGTGTGCCTGCTGCTCCCGCGGCCTCAGCCCAGTGACTCATTTTGCTCATAAAAACACAAACTGGTTGTTGCAGCTGGGGAGCTCCCTGCTGAGAGAGGCAGGGTCCCTCCAGCCGTCCCCAGGCGCTGTCCCCACCGCGTCACCCACAGCCAACCCACTGTGTTTCCCCCTGGGAGCAGGAAGCTTTGCAGCCACCCATCATTTTCGGTTTGTTTCTCAGTTCGCTGAAGTCACTTTGTCATCCTGAGCACCCCTATGCCACTCAGAGAAGTTATGCATGCAGTGGGGCAATGCTTGTATTGCTGTTCCTTGCATTGGGCTGTTCCTTCTAGCCAGGCAAGAGGAGAAGATGCATGGATGCATGGGCAGGTGTCCCTGTCCCCATCCCTGTCCCCATTCCTGTCTCTCTCTCCATTCCTGCCCCTGCCCTCATCCTTATTG